TAACTCTTATGCCTTTTTATATACGTAGCCCTTCAACAGTTAGTGACGCTGCTTATTTTTTTTCAGTAGCTCGTTGTGGCGCTACTTACGTGTATCGATAGTTTTGTGAATACGAAAGCATACTTTATCACTTTCAAAATTGACTTGGAAACTGATTTATTGTTAGCCGTAAAAAAAAAAAAAATGCAGAAGCATATTAACTATTTTGTACAGTGTATTCTCGAACATACCGAAAAAATTAAGAATGCAATTAAAACGAATGACAGTAGTCGGAATCGTTTGATCGAACGCATGTTGAAACAGTCGCGTGTGATACGCCCAATCTAAAGATACGTTTTGTTGCGAAAAGTGCGACTTTTAGACTTTTAAAAATCATCCACCGACACTGTCTGCGGCTGTGGTCGTGCGTGCAGACCATAAGTATTTCTCAATATTTTTTTTCCACCATTAGCGCTGCTAAGTGACTACGTATGAAAGAGGCCATACGGGCACTGTCGAACGTGGTGTTATAAATAATAATTACACATTATTATTCTTTCGGAACACCCAGCGTACGATGATCATACGTAATGTATGACAGTGAAGTGCATTGCACACGGTGTGTCCACGTGCGCGAACATGATTTAAAAACCACTGCGATTATCGGGTGGAATTGTGGAAACGGCCATAATTAAATCTGTGTATCCACATTGGAAAAATTGCGCATGTTCGCCTTTGACCGTTAAAATTAAACACAATGTTTTCACTGGAGCTATTTACACCAAGCGTCTCATTCACCATATGTTGGCGCAGGTGATTTAAAATCGCGTTTGTGAGCGAACAAACCGACTAGTGTGCAATGATAAGGGATAGAAATAAATAAATAATAAAATCTTAGCCTGGAGTATATAATATATTTGTAAAGTACGACCGGTTTCAAATTAAAAATTCATCATCAGGTGTGTGCAAAGTTAATAAAATTGCGACTAAGTATGAAAAAATGAAATCGCAACTAAATATAGAAAAGTAAAGGAATATATTGGAAAAAATTAGTCGTTTTGTTTAGAGATAATTTACTTTAATAGGAAAACGACTAATTTTTCATATTCAGTTGCAATTTTCTTAACATTCTTTACACCTGATGATGAATTTTTAATTCAAAACTGATCATTTTTTACAAATATAACAATTCTCCAAGCTCAGCTTTTATTTATTTATTTATAAGTATGGAAATATGAAATTAAGGGGTCTTATAAACACGTATTTTTGGTTATAAATTATTGTTTCTAATTTCATTGATACATGTTGACAATTATTACGATTTTCATTCTGAAAAAATATTCGAATTCTCCGTAATACTCGTATGTACTAAAAAATGATCGAACTATATTTTTATTTTTTGTAATTGAATAACATTTTTCGATTAATTTATTAAGGAGATAGAATTTCGTTTATTTATTGTATTCTCATCTTTTACTTTGATACAGGTATTATTCGTTTTGAACGGGGAATGGTCCATGGGCTGACAACCATTGGAATGACAGTATATTAGCCATTGAACCAACAGTATAAGAGGCTAACAATTAATAGGTTGATAGTAAGTGGCCAATTATTTAAATTTAAATTTTTTTTTTTTTAATAAATGTTTTGTATAACGTTTTCTTTTTTTTTTTTTTTTTATTGATATATGGATTAAGTTTTTTTTTAAATTATTTTTTTGCCATATTATTTGCCTGATAATTGTCGGACCAATAACGAGATTTTTGATAAGAAATGTTATCTAACTGATATTTTAAAGTGGGTCATTTTATGAATTTCCCAACAATTTCTTAATAATTACAAAAAACGAACGAAAAATTATGAAAATACCACAAAATTGATAAATTATTAACTTAAAAATATATATGATAATAAATTACCCAGTAATGAGTTTAAATATATGTGAATATGTACAGTATACACATAATACATTTAACCAAAGCGTATAATAACTTACATAGCTTACAGACATTTTACGCATCTCATATTTTTTGTTTTAAAATAAAATAGTCATAACTTATCCTTTGACTGCATTGTAAAAACCTATAGGTTTTTTGAACTAATTATTTTTTGGAAATTATGATAATAATTTTACTAGTTCAATTTTGTGATCAAAAAATATTTTTTTAAAATAAATATAAAGTTATAAGATAAAGATTTATAAAAAAAAATCATATAGTTGTAAAAAAAGAAAATACGCAACACATTAGAATTAAGTAAATTAACGTACAACCAAATATTCAACTTGGAGGTAGATAAGATGTAACAATAGAACTTAACACTGAAAACTGCACGTGCCTTAACGACTGAAAGAGGTCAAGTGTACAAAGTGAGGTACCTTTGTAAGTGAAACTTTGCTGGAATAATAGTGTGATTATATAAGTGATGAGTGAGACGTTATTACTGGTGAAAAAATGTTTTAGGTTTTGTGAATAATAATAATAATAATAATAATAATAATAATAATAATAATAATAA